TTCTTCAACTTTCTTATCCTTTGATAAAGTAACTCGCGCTATTGTTGATGATTCCATTTTGCAGAATTTCAGAAGCAATCAAGCAACCAATAGAGCAACAACGTACCAGGCTGCTTCACCGAAAATTGATTTCGGTGCAACTGGAACAGCATCGAAATCTGCTGTATTTAATACGGTTGGATATCCTAAGGTGCCAGCACAAGGTAAGTAACATATAACAAGGAAATTCATAACAAGATTATAAAATAATGAGATTCATACTCCAATAACAAGAGAAAATAAATCACGGGTTATTTTTCTATTTACAATTAGTTTTAGAAAATCTTTCTTTTATATTTTTTATTTTATATTTATTTTTTTTTTTACATATGTTAATTTTTTTATATTTAATTTTAAGCTCCTTCACAATTGATACCACCACAACGTCCCCAACATCTGTCACATCTGTCCAAAATTCAAAGTGCTTCTTCATCACAAACTGCAGTAACAGCTGTAACACCCCGCATCGTCATAGCGAGAGCAGAGGGTCAGCGTATTGAACCAAATTCGGTTTCTGCAATAATTTCGTCCCTAACCACACAACAAAAGCCAAAGGCCAACCATGCAACCTCTTATGTGGCATTAAATGATTTTCTAACGAAAAAGTTTGGAAACAATGCTCCAACTGCAACTGTCACATCAACATTACAACAACCTCAAAGCCTACCAAAAGCACCAACAACAGCTGCAACATTTGCTGCTGCTACACACCAACCAACAAGGGAACAATTACAACAATTAAACTTTATAACACAACAATATCAACAACAGCACGAAACAAATAAAGTAAATCAGCAACAAGTGCAACAAAATCAACATCAACATCAACCACAACAATTACATCAACAGCAACAGCAACACCAACATCAACAACATTATCAACAACAACAATATCAACAAGTAGCGATTCCAACAGTACAGACACAATATTTTCAACAACAACAACAGTCATTAAGACCGACAACAACGCAACAAACTCAAAATGTTTACTTGCAACAAATACAACATTTTCAACCACAGCAAATACAACAGGCCCCTACTGGTAATGGCATCAGACCACAACAAAATGTTTTCCCCTCACATTTACAACACCAACAAACCCAGTTACCAACTGTAAACTATCAACAGCAACAACAAAATTTAGTGCAACAACAACAAACACAACAGCCGATCACAGCTCAGAGCATTCAACAGCCGCCTTTTAATACGCAGAATATATTTGCCAGCTATAAGCACCAACAACAGCAGCTGCCACAATTTCCACCATTAGCGCCAACACCGAACCAAATTCAACAAGAAACGGAAACCGTTTTTGGAAATTCTCAGGTTGTCTCAAGCGGGAATGATCCTCATCTTAACGTACAGCTACCAACACTGCCAAATGGGCTGATACCAGCACCAAACACACCCACACAGGATAGTCATTTGAATGTACAATTGCCTGCGCTGGCAAATGGACTCATTCCCACGCCCAATTCTCCTGCTACTGCTCAAAAACGCATTGATAGCATTTCGCCTGGTGTTTTGGAACTAACGACAAGCACAGGACGTATTTTTTCCAATGGTGCAAGCTCATATGAAGTTCCTCTCAAGAGTATAGGCCGCTTACCCAATGATATAACACACCTACTGCGACGGCTCAGGAAGTACTAAAAATCTGTTCCGAATTAAAATTAAGGCTTAGTTTTTTACATTTAATTTTAGTTTGCATTTATTTTATTTTTTTTTTTCTTTTATTTTTCATTTTATTTAAAGTATGTGAGTGTGCGCTCTTCTAGGGGCTTAAAAGCAGTTGATAAAATAATATATTGGTCGCAAGCTCTTAACGCCCATGGACGTTAGCTACAATATATGTTAAAAGTTGTGCGATGAAACTACTGAAATGAAAAAACTGTGAAAAATAATCATAAAAAAATAATTTTAATTTTACAATTTCATTTTCAATATTTTTTATTTAATCATTTATAAACTTAATATATATTATATATAAAGGATATTCATTTTAGCCGCATTTTTTCATACTTAGTTTCATTTCTCACTCCTGTTTTAGAACATTTTGCCATTTTTAGTGTCTTATTTATTTAAAATTTGTCATTAAAATATATTAAAATATAAATATATATGTATGCATAAGTTATGTATTTATTTTACTAATAAATTAAATAAAATATATATACATATGCGTTTTATTCTTATTAATTCGCATAAAAGATACTAGCAAAAAATAAACCCGATTACACCTTGACACCAAGGTTTGGTTACCCTACCAGTACATCTTATTGGATTCAAAGATTCTTACTAAAGTACCACAGATCATACTATACCTTCCATAATCTTGTGAAATAAATAGGTAGTAGACGCGTTTAGCATATTCTGCTGACTTTATATCCTTGATCCGGTGGTGATCACTTGAGATAACAATAGCGTCCAATCACATTCTTCTCTGTACTTGTTTTTCAGGTTAACTTTTAGTCACAACTTCACTGGACTAATCTGTTTTTTAATCCGCTACATATCATAGTGATATAGTGGAAGAATATGTAGAGGCTTTCACTAAAGGCACTCTTATGATCTAACGATGTCCAAATTTAACGTTAAATGCTGGCAGTCAATCTCATTCGATTTTACTTCCTCCTTCCCACCCCGTTGTATAGCATCCCTTCAATCTTTTACGTACTTGGTTTCAGGACGTAGTTTGTTTACTATAACATTAACAACAGCAAGGTGTCTTCAGTTTTGTCATTCTCAAACGTGGATTTTTTTCAAGACAATTTGAATCACAAAACCTACAACCAAGTCGCCGGTATACTTTATCTCCCATGGGCTTAAATTCTATTAAATGTTTTCTACATTTACAAAAACAAAAAAGGGTCTACTCATAAATTGATAATAATTAATAGATTTATAAAATTAAACTTTAAAATGATTCCGTGAGTATTTGAAATAAGTGCCTAAAATATAGTAAATAAAAATAGCATTTGAATTAATTTCAATATATATTATTTATATTTTACAGTTATATATATATGTACGTCTGTATAATAACATGTGATTATTTATAAAGTAATTTAAATTTAAAAATTTTTGTTGATACATACATTTTTGTTTTTTCCATAATATACTTTTGTTTTCGTAATAAATAATTACAACATTATTTTCGCAATAAAACATTCATAATTTCTTATTTTATTTATAATATATAATAATTTAATACAATCTTCATTTACTTCGGTTATACAATACAATTTTTAATAACTTAAATCAGAATGCTTAAACTACTTTAAATCTATTTTAAACTAATTTTTTTTAAGCTGTATGTTAAATTAATTAATAATTATGTTCAAAAATTTTATGTGTCGTATTAATTTACAATTTAGTTTTTTAAAATATTTTATTATATTTTATTTTAAATTTCTGTATATATTATTCTGATACTCGAAAGAAAATAAAAAAAAAACTACATAATGGCATGATTAAGCATAAATATTCGTACATAAAAGTGATATTAATATTTACTCGAAATTTTTAAATATTTTACTACATTTATCATTATTGTATTTATTCATATATTATATATATATATATATATTAGATATTACATATATAAGGGCTACATTATGTATAAGAGAAATTTTGGTGCCAGGTTGCAGCATAGTGCATATATGTCATTACAGTGCATAAGGTTGTACTCATATGTGATTTATGTGGTAATTAAATAATTGTTTAACTATATGCTCTGATATTAAGTAATTTATAATTAAATAGTAAAAATATTAACAAGCAGATATGCATAGTAAAAATAATTAAACAGTAATTTAATAAAACAGTCATCCTAAAGTTATAAGGTGTTGTTGTAAACTATAATTCAGACTTGGATTTTTATTCATTTTGATTTAAGTTTTAAAAGCACACTCAATAGTTATAAAATAAGCTACAGATATAGCAGAAAGTCGAGTCACATTTGTAATATTTTATTTTGTTTTGTTTTAAAAATTGTAATTTTTAATTTTTTCAATCTATAAATCTCATGTAAATACAAAAATTAATTACGTTTATTAAGTTCAAAAAATAATTTATTTTCTTAATCATAACATGCTTTGCCTGTAAACAATTTCAAATAAAAAATTACTTAGTTTATCAATAGATTACAACAATTTATATTATTTTTATTATATATAAAAAGTGCTATTAATATGTTTCTTTTATCTCTAAAATTTTTCATTCATTCTTAATTCTTCTTTAAAGATAAAATTAATGTACTATTAGCCTTTTCTATATATATTAAATATATTTTTATGTAAAGACAATTTCTGAGGTACTTAAAAAATAAAATTAATTTACATTAAAATTTTTTTATTTGCATTAGTAACTAATTTGTATGTTATATTTAACAAAAAAGACTGGGTTTTTTTTGTGCACTTTAGTTTATTAGTTTAAGTAAGTTAGACAGTTGTAAAAAATAGTATCATTTATAGATCAACAACCTCTATTTTATTAAAAAAAAAAATTATAATTAAAATAATATATATATAGCTTAAATACTGTCGTCGCGTCGCACCTTTTGAAAATAAAAAATGTTTAGCCAACATGCGGAAATAATTTATAATTATTTTTATTTACAATTGGGCATTCGACAATTCACTACAAAGTATTAAGCAATCTTACAATTCAGTACAACAAATGCGATCCACAAAAGTCCATTTTTATTATTTTAATATATTTAAAAATTACTTTTAAACATTATGGACGAGATTTTTATTTTAATATAACCGGTGCATATATTTATATATTAGATTATAATAAATAATGAAGTTAAAAGTCTACTCATAAAAAAACTTTAATTTATAGATATATACAACTTACATCTAATCGCATTGATACGATACTTGATTTTGCTTAAATTATATAAATACTTAACTTACACCTATATTAAATTTAGTTATAACACACGTATCTTAAATATAGTATATAGTAAAAAGATTAAAAACAGTAGTTAAAACAATAATATTATTAAGCAACTTCAAGTGCTTGAAACACTATTTGAGTGTGTTAAGAAGTTTTCGTTAAAATCATTTTTTAAATTAAAATATTACCTTATGTTTGTTAAAAAAATTCATATTAAATAATTAAAAGCAAAACACATACATATTTGGTTGGTCCAACTCCTGCATTTCCATCTTATTGATTTTGGTTCTTGTTATAACGTTTTTGCTGTTTTTTTCTGCAACCAAAAACTAAGTGGTAACGTGGTCTCTGACGTTTGCGCTTATTTCGTTGGTTTTCTCGACGTTCTCAAGAGTACGCATCGGCGGCATTTGTTTGTGCTATATTTGCAATTGCATTAGTATTCGGATTAGTGTGATTCTGGCAATAAACTTTAAATTCAGTTTCATTTAAATTCCAATGTGCTTCCTGTGCACATGGCACATGCGCGGCAGCTTTACAATCACGCTGCAGACAGCATATTATAGCGCCAGGTTTTGTGCAAAGTATGCACGCATAACGCGTGCTATTCCACACAGCTGCGTCAAGACCCAAAACACGTGCACCAACGAGAAATACGCCAGGTGCCCATATAGTGCAATTTTCATGCACCCAGACCTCATAACTATTCTCTGATACCTTACACATACCAAGGAACGTTTGTTGTTGCATTATTGCATTAGAACATTGTGGCAGATCAGTTGCGTTGGTTTCGTTGGAATGTTTCTTTTTCTTTTTATTCTAAATTAAAAACAGAAAAATAGAGGAATTATTTAAAAATCATATTATATATATCATATTACATACCGCTCCAACTCGTGTCGCAGTTGTCGGTTGTGTTGTTGCTGGTACAACTGGCAGATTTCTTGCATTAGATTGTACCATATCGGAACGTCTTCTTTTACTTATAAAATCTGCATCAATATCAAATGAATCTGGTGCTTTTACTGCCATTTTATATTCTTCACATTCAGTTGATATTAAATACGGCCCGAAAAGATCACCTAAGCCCATTTTGTGTGGTCCCCGTTTGCAAAACACACAAATCCACGTAGAGTCAGTCGTAACTGCATCATATTTATTACTTAATGTAGATGAATGCAATCCACGTAAATTCCTTCTGTCATGCACATAAGCCTTCTTAATTTTTACGTTTTTCTCACTTACATCTTCTGCAATAGGAGCGTTAATAACGCTTACGTTACCATCTTTCTTTACTAGAATATATGGTGATTTGTATTTTGTGTCAGCAATCGAAGAAGCTTCTCGTGTTGGTGGCAATTCATCATCCGAGGAATTTGCCCTACGTCGTTGTTGTTGCTGTTGTTTTTGCTTGTTGTTTTTACCACCTTTGCTTTTAATAATTGGTAGGGGACGCTTTTTTCCAGTCGTCACACTTTTCTTATCTTTTTTTGCCGCCAAGCTTGCCTCAGTAATAGCAGCAGTGCTTTCCTTAGCTGCTAAAGCAGCTATAGCTGCAGCAGACGTACTTGGACGCTCGTCATCTAAGTGAACAATAATTTCTTTACCTGCATCTTGTTGTTTTTTACGCTTCTCGGTTTCTTTATTACAATCTTCAAAGAATATGCGTAAGTTAGCGGGATCTAAAGCTGTTGATAGACGTCTGCGAGGTGTATTTATTCTTTTAGGAGGGACAACAATCTCAATAGGGCTCTTTGCTTTTGGCGGGCTAGGCATTGTAGATTTCTTGGCAGCTTTTGTTGGTGGTGGTCCTTCTAATCTAATAGGAGTCTCCTGTTTCTCTACATTGGTTTCTTTTTTATCCACATTCATATCTTCTTTGTTTTTCATATCATTTATGTTATTATTAATATTCTCACTGGCATTTGTTGTTAACTCAAGTGCCAAACTTAAGTCACGGGCAACGTCTAACTCGTTCGCAGGTTCCTCTAATAAGCGTTCATCATCTTCATGCACAACAGGCTCATCTTCAATGCCAGCGAACATTTCTTCTAATTTATTTTCAACCTATAATAATCGATAAAAGAATGTTTTTAATACATTAACGAAAACATGGTTTCAATATTGAATATAATATTGAATAAAGAATAAAAAGATATTGAGTTTTATATTACCTCTTCGAAACTGGATTTATGTGGACTATTATTTAGTTCATTATCTATATTACTTTTATTATCGTTCATAGCCAAATTTGTTTTATTTTCATTACTAGTAGAATTTTCTTTGATATCCATAGTATTATTACTGGAACTAGAACCGTGAATATCATTTGCAATGATATTTTCTTTTTCTTTTTCCACTTCATCGGTTGGACTTTTGTTCTGTTGTAATTTGCTGTCATTACTACTCCGAGTGGAATTACTACAACTCGAACTACTTGATGAACTGCTACTGCTGCGGCTGTTACTTTGTGGACTTAATGGTTGAGAAACTATATTTGAAAGTTGTGCACTTTGTTCTACTTCGACTTGAGTCTCTTTTCTAAGATCATCAGCCAGCACGGCGTTATCATTTGTTGCCACATTTTCATTATATGAACTTGAATTTAAGTTATTTGCATTTACTTGTGGCTCAGAACTACGTAATTTTAATACTTGTCGCTGCTTCTTCGTTTTGGGACTATCATTCGAATTTTCTTCAGTATCAGATTTAGCAGTTTTACTTTGATTTTCCCCATCATTAGAAATATCAACTGGCACAGACTGCCCATTTTCAAGTGCAGCTAAATTATTTTGTTCCTTCGTTTCGGGTTCGATTGCTTCAATTACACGTGATACAGGTGATGAAACTATTTGTGACGTATTAGACGTAGTTGCACTATTTTCTGGAGGTTGTTCCAAAGGTCTTTAAAACATAAAAAAAAACTTATATAAAAAAAAAATAAATAAATTATATTTTATTCATACCCTTCAATATTTTGAGGTGATTTTCGTTGTGTCTGCTGTGGTGAAACTTTTGGGCTACGACTATTGTTGCAACGTTTTGGTGTAAGAGGCCCCTGTGTGGGTTCGCCAAATTTATGCGAGATGGAACCAGTGTCTTCGTTTTCCCTTTCACTTGAGGACATACGAACAATTCTGCTAGACTTTCTTTTTCGTCTTTGACGACTTTCACTGCTGTTGCTATTGGAATCGATGGACTCACTATCAGGTGATGTTGCAGGATTCTGCGGATTGCTGGGCGTTGAAACTGAAAACTTGTAAGCTGCAATATTTGCATTCGCTGCTGATAAGTCTGCAATTTGAGATTTTTCAATATTGGATTGTAGTGAATTTGGCTCAGTTCGATTTGGGTATGTATCCATATCAACTAAATTAGATTGTTGCTGTTGCATGGGGGAATGATGCAATTGCTGACTTTGTTGATTATGTTGCAGTTGTTGTTGCGTTTGTTGGGAGCTATGGTGCTGATGTAAATGATGCTGGTGATGTGGATAATGTAAATGTGATTGGTTTGTCAGGACATGTTGCGGGTTAAAACTATTTTGTTGTAAATGTAGTTGATTGTAGTCGATTACGCCTGCGTTACTCTGCATAACAGGTGAATGTGTTGGCATTTGTTGTGGGTTTGCGTTATTTGTGACCGATGGGTTGGATTGTTGGTTTGATGCTGGTGACAGAGGAGTGGGTGGTGTATGCGGACCGTTATGTTTTACAGTTGTTGGATTGGTGAAAGCTTGTTGTTGTGGGTGATAATTATGAATTGGAGATGTATCTGAAAGGTATATTTTAGACTAAAGTATAATGAATAATTTTCATAAATTTACGTTTTTTCGGTGAAACTTGCTGTGAGTGTGGAGTCATTTTAGTTGGCATTATAGCAGAGTAGTTACAATCTTTATTAACCAGCTCAACTGGTTTCTGCATTGATTTCGTCTGTAACTAGAAATAAAACATCTACTTATGAAAACTGTTAACAAGAATTTTTTTATATAACTAATATTATCCTCAATCAAGTAATACTGCTTGCACTTCCCTAATTACAACATAAATGTAAATTCAATAACATATAGAAATTTACCTCATTTTCATAATTGCGGCTCATTTGTGCCATTTTGGCAAAGTTTTCACTATGACGTACTTCTGCATCGCGCAAATAATGCATAGGGTTGGGGCCCGTTCCTGTGGTGCCATTATTATTGTTACCAGATAGGGATGCACCACTGCTTGCCGAACCAATACCAGGTGGTGGTAACATAGAATCTCGATCGCCACCATTTGTGTTCATATATTTAGCATTAGCTCCAATTGAACTTGTAGAAGGCGAATTAGTAGATGGCGATGCAGTAGCAGCATTTTGAGAACTGTGAGAATGTTGTGGACCAGTGGAGTTTATTGAAGTCTGTGTAGTTTGCTGTTGTTGCGTATGTGTTAAAGCATTTGATGCATTTGTGGAGAGATTATGTCTATGAAATTTATGAAACACATTAAAAAAGGTTTGCAAATAACGTAATAATAATACTAACATGGGATAACTTTGTGTGAGCTGCATTTGTGTTGTATGCTGTTGTTGAAGGGATTGAGCCTGATTTTGTTGATGAAGCGCTAATTGTTGTTGCTGAGCTTGCTTATGCCCAAAATCATGCTGCCCCATACCAGGATGCAGTCCTTTATTTAAAGGCGATGCAGCATTTCGTGCCGATTGTAAAGATAAGTCCATTGAATCAAAAGGCGAAGGACCACGCACATATGGCTGAATAAGTGGATTTATTTGATGCTCCAACTATAATGAGTCAGCATTATTTGTAGTCTTAATGGATATTTTTATTTGATATAATGATAATTATTTAAACTTAATTTAAACTATAGACAAGCCACAGCGTCAGAAAAAAAAATTAAGGCAATAGTTTTGTGTTAATATTAAAACTATGAAACTGAATGAAATAATAGGAAATTGTGCAGTGTAATTAAATAATAGGTAATAGGTAAATAATAGGTGAATATTAAGCTTTCAGCAAAAAGATCATGCATTTTTTTATTTTATTGAAGTATCCATTTTTTTGCGATTTATCAGTACATATTTACTAGGTGAGTTGAACAAATAACCAGTGACAATAATTTAAACTAACATATGTAATTTTAAAGTATTTTCCATAGCATAAAAAGGATACTGCAATTTAAAACATTTTTTTTTATTAGTTTTATTAATATTACAAATAAAATTTTAAATCTTTTTTGTTTTGTAAAATGAGTTAAGCTTGTTGAATTACATTTTTATGATTAGCTGACATGAAATTATATATGGAGTCCGGTGGCGGAGCCGGTGCATGCCATGTCAATGGTGAACGTACCATTGGACGTTCGTTGGACATATGAGCCAATTGTGGCTGCCTCGGTATGTATGATGGTATCTAAAGAATATACAAAAGGATTTTATACCATTTTTTTTAAAGAAAAGACAGCGATGTGTTAATTTGTGGATTTATTAGTTACAATGTAGCATCAAAACAACAACACTTATTCATTTAATACTTTTTAACTATTACCTGTAGAGGATTCCATGATGGATTTTGGGGTGGTTGAGTTATATGTCCATGAGGATTATTGTTAGACATTATATTTATAGCAACAATTAATATTTTTTAATATTACTTTTTATAAAGACTTTTTATATTTGGACTCTAAACAATGAAATCATTCCGTTTTTTTCCATACAGATAGGAGCATCAACTACAAAAATATTTTATTACATATTATTATAACTAAAAAATAAAGAAATTATTACTACCTGGCATGGACTACTTCAATTTATTAATTTAATTATATTAATATGCAGTTTTCAAAAGGTTTCATATATTCTTTAAATAATTCCAATTTATTCAATAAGCATTTTAGTTAATTATATATTAACAGACCACAAAAGGAATGTGATATACTCAATCCATATCCTGTAAAAAAGAGAAAACAATTAACACTAACGTTAAAGTTCTACTTTACACTACTATGTAGTAAATTTTAGGCTATTGTAAATTATTTTGGAAGCATAGCAGAGCTGACTTTCAGTAGCTAACTAGTTAATAATAACTAACTAGTTACTATATACATAACTAAAAAAAAACAGTCAGTACTTTACAAAATTTTATCTATTTCAACGTCACTTTTCCAAGAAATGTTTAACAATCTGTATATACAATAAATTGACAGATCATTTAACTAATTATATATTAAATGTGATTAGATGATGGCTTGAAAGGTATGTTGTTATAACTCTTCTCGAAACCAGGAAAAATATTGCTTTTTGGATTTTTCTTTTTTTTTTTTGGGTTGGTATGAACCGTCTAAGCCACAAATGCCTTGGAAGTGTCAATAATGTTCAGGTGGAACAAGTACTGGCTGAATAACTTAGACTTGACTATAGCTTGAACCCTTTACAAAGATATATTTTTATATATTATTTTTTATAATGAAAAAATGAAAACATGCCTCTAACAGTTCATGGAACCTTTGTGCGTATAGTATGTTCTGGATTTCGGAATTCATTTGTACTGCTTCTAGAGTCGAAAATGTATACTCAAGCTGGCTAGTAGTTTTGTTCAATAAGTTATTCTACCAATTCCACATAGTTGTATTTAATAATTCTTCTTCACTTCATATACAATAACACTATAAATAATGAATGTATTAAGTTATCAAACTCTAAAAAACTGATACAATTAAGTGTTTTCTTTGGTTTAATTAAAAAGGACTCTCACTCATTAGTTAACGACTAATATGTAAACGGTCACTTTAGTATCATTTCACTATATTAATTACATATTTAGTTTTCTTTTTTTAAAATAAATTCATATACTGAATTATACATCTTCTTGTATTTAACGACAGAAAATTTTATCCATACGTCGCAAATATATCGTCTCTACATAAATCCTACTCCTTTTCATATTTGCGGCATTCTATATAATTTATAACTTCTCTTTTCAGGCTTTGTGGCACGGGAGTGTATTTTTAGAGTTGACAGTTACTGTCAAATATTACTTCTAAAATTTTTGTTATTAATATTTCAACAATTTTAAAAAGAAACAACTATATTTGTATAAATTATATTATTTAATTTCATTACTAAAAAGAGGAGGCATTACAAAAACACAATAGACATACATTTTTTTTAATAAAAATATTATCTGTAAGCCCTGTACAGGATTTACAAATTTTTTGCTTTTAATTCACATGTAGCACATTTCGTGAATTCGCCCTATGCATAACCGGAGCTGTCAAAATTGTTTTCGCAAATTCTTTTTAACACGAAATTCTTGTTTACATCATTGTACCCATCTCGCTCTATTACGTTTATCGCACTTTCACATTACTCGTTTCGCTTATCGCGTGGTTTGTTTTATACGCTATTCCGTATGCTGAGACAAATACTTTACATTAGCAAATTGCAGAAATTTTCTGAAGTTTTTTATTTGCAGTTTTTATTTTTTGTAATGTTTAATCCTAAATCACATAATATTATGTTTAATAAGAAGCTATTAAAATATTTATGAGTTTGGTGTACAGTTCACACACTATTTACTTTGTTTTTATATATTATAATAAATTGTCCCGAAATTGTATTTATGTCCGTACTACATATCAAAACTGATTTTTTTCACGCAATGTGATGGCATATTGAAGTGGCTACCGCTTCCATCATCAAACAGGGTGATTTCTAGAAAAAATTTTTAGTCTACATATATTTAAAAATGTGTTTTAAATACATAATACAATATGAATAATATGAATATTATAATATGTAATTTTATAGTTTTTTAGACATTTAAATATTTTAATTTGACAAAGATATCCATTCTTTTTGCATAAGACTTCCACTCGTTCTTATGTTAATTAATAACTGGTCAGTTTTGTTATTTATAGGATTAAATTTTTATATAATTTATCTGGCAAGTTTAGCTTATTGGAAAACGCTCGTTTAACATTCACCGGTTTTTCCTGATTGGTTATCAATGGTGGTTTCGATTTCATTTTTAGTGTGTTTTTTATATTCGATTGGTAAATCTGGGGAAAAATGTAAAAAACTTGAGATTACTTTATAAAACTCTAGATATTTTGACTATTTTTGAAGATTGCACTGAAATTAGCAGCTGTTTTATATGGCTTGGCAAGTAATGTGTGCTTTGATTCAATGCATGTATTTTTGAATAATAACAATAAAAATAATGCCCACTAACACAAATACAAAAATGTTAGTTAAGTCTTAAAACGTATAAATGGGTAATAAAATTTGACAAATCGAGAGTAAATCTAGATTGCAGCTAGATTTACCAATAGAAAACATCATAGGTATTTTTTTAATGTTACAGCTTTTTAATACATTAGTAACATGTAATCTTTTGATATTATTTCATTTATTTAAAAGTAAGCTATAAACTAAGATGTATTTGTATGACTTCGATACAGATCGTACATGTGTAACGAACACCGAGGTTATCAGAACATAATATTAATATGTTCAGGAATTTTAGTTAATAATGTTATTTATCATATAACTGTATGTTAAGAAAAAGTATAAAAATATATATTAATTATTCACAATAAGTAACTCACAAAATCACACAAATTACGAAAGACAACTCTTTACAAGTTTTTGTTTCCGTTGACAATAATTTATGCAGTTATACAACCTTAATATTTGATACAGGCATATTTCAAATTTACGAATTCGCGGATAAAAATTTGAAATTAAAATTTTTGTATCAATTTTGTGGCAGAGTATGTGACAAGCTTGTATATTTATTAAGGTCAAATAAACACATATGTTTTAATACATACGCCGCATAGATTTAGAATTGAATTCTTACATAATCTACTACAAGTTTATTTATTGAGACCTGTCAACATTTTTTTATTATATGATGCATGAAACTAATGAACTTGGCAGCACTAATTTCTTACAAATCGTCATTAAACGTCTAACTTGACATTTGACATATGTTATGTTGTCGAACGTTTGAGCGCCTTTTTTGTTAAATTGTCCGGGAAAAGTAGAATATCTATTTGAAATAATTATTTGTATAATTCGATTTGAAACTTAAGTCGCAAATATGAGACGTGGAGCATTAATTATGTTTGAAGGCTGTGACCGAACAGGAAAATCCACGCAGAGCCGTTTACTGTGTAATTAGAATTTATAATTTTTGTTTCAGGTTTTTATAGCAAGGAGAAATATTTAAAGCAAAATATTCGTAATAATCAGCTTTTAATTGTTATGCATAATTTATTTAGACAACACGCTGTTGCAAGAAAACCACCCAGTGAAACACATGTCATTTCCAGCACGTGAATCTACCATTGGGCAAGTGATTAATTCCTATTTAACAAATCAACAAGAACTAAGCGATGAGACCATACATTTACTGTTCTCGGCAAATCGTTGGGAATACAAAAATGAAATGAAAAAGTTATTAGAAGCTGGTACAACATTTATTGTGGACAGGTATTCATACTCAGGTGTGGCGTACAGTGTAGCTAAAGGTATTTAATAGAGAGTAAATAAAAATAGAATACTTAATCGAAACTCATTATAATCTAATATAGGTTTGAATTATGATTGGTGTATCTCAATGGAGAAGGGTCTTTTACGACCTGATGCTGTCTTTTATTTGAATGCTCCTATTGAACAACTGCAAGATCGTGGTAATTTTGGAGACGAAAGGTATATCAAATATATAAAGATAAACTATCATTCAATAAATATGCCTAATATTTAAGGTACGAAAAACTTCAGTTTCAACGTAAAGTTTTAAGCGTTTATGAAGAAATGATGACAAAAGAAAATATTAATTGGGTTAATATAGATGCTGTGGGTACAAAAGAATCTATTTTTGAAAACATTTATAAACAAGCAAAAACGATTATTAAAGAATCAGTTGAAAAACCAATTGACGTTATAACATAAATTGAATTGCAGTGATGACATGCCATAGTTAAGCAAGTGTTATTGATAAGGTTGTGGTAAATAACTTATTGATAAGTTATTTACTTTTTTAATTTTATTATAAAATATGTATAAATGTATATAAGTATTTTTTAAATTCCATAAATGTCTTTATTATCAATGTAAATTATTTTATTTTGTTAGTACAAGTGGTAGTTGTCTTTTTCCAAAATTGGAAGCGCAAAAGACTTTAATCTCTTTTTTCTAAATATAATTTAAAAACTATTTAAAAAATATTCAACGCATCTCAACTTCTGTCGTCACAGTACCCTCTTCCTAGGGAAGGAGTAGTAGCGATACCACGATTCGAAAAGTAATTAACAAAAGACTTGTGGGTCAATCATAAAGTTCTGCTAAATTCATTGGAAAATGCTTATTTATACAGCTCGCGTCACTTATGAAACAGTCCGTGCCTTCTCATGTCTCATTGGCTATGAAGCCTAAGATGTTATTGGACCGTAGTGTGCAGTGTCACTTGATGCGAGATTGGAAGTGACTACTGTTGTACCGTCGATGCGCCCGTTTGAGACGCCTGAGACTAAATTAAGTTTCAGACTAAATTAAGTTTTAGGAGTTGCTGCTGCTGATAATACTGAAACACCTCAGAATATCTTCACAACTATCGTAACGATTGCGACAATTTTTGTGGTGGTGCGTTTATGTTTCTATCGGTGTACGAAGCTGTCACTGGATCGTCGTCGTTGTTGTAGCTATTGTGATTGTTGCTATATTGATATACTTAAGCCATGGAATGTCGTGTTAACGTAAAATAATTGAGATAAAGACTTACTTCAAGCAACATTGGCGGCCATGCTGTTTTGAATTAACGAAAGAACAGTATATGTAAGTTGATGAAAACTGTTTATATATTTTGAGAGCTTGCCACCTTTGAGGGTTGTTGTGGCAAATCCACTTTATTTTATTAGACGAGTAGCAGTTAAAAACGTCATTATGTCCTTTGGAGAGATGTTGTCTAATTCCGTTATAATTGGATAGGCAGCATTTGATAAGTACCGAAATCTGAATCTGACGAAATCTTCAGTTTTTTTAAGAGCGTCACACAACTTGAGATTAGCTTTTAAAATTATTTATCTAAAAAAGTAACTGTGTTTTAGGAATATCATTCCATCCAGAGAAGTCAAAGTCAACGAATAAGATAACAAAGCCTCATGTTTTTTGACGCTAAAAATATGACCTCCAGCCATGCGTGAAATAAGACCCCGTAGGTGTAAACTGCGACATTTGTACTACGTTTTTAAAAATCAATTTTTTTTAAATAATTCTTAAATATTGGTGTTAATGCACAATTGTTAATCGCATTATTATTTATTTATGTACTCAAATAAATTAATTTTAATTTTTAAATTTAATTAAAAGCCATTTTAAATAAATTAAAAATGCATAACATTAAAGTCAGTTTAATTTATGGCCAGCTTTATTTAAATGCTTTCATATATATTTTTTTTCGATTGTACATGTGACTTAAACAAATAAAAATAAAATATTTGCTGCTTCATATTGAAAGAATTTATATATTTAATTTTTTTTGTTTAACATAAGTGTTTTAAATATTTTGAATTTTTGTTTTAATTTAAATGATTTTATTTTTTATTCTTTTAAATTGGTTTGATAAAATAATTTATTAACTTTTTGAGTTAAGCTTGATTTACTGTTGAAAAAACAACACAACAACAAGAACAATTAGAGAAATAGTTATTTCAATTAAAAAATAATTGTTAAAATATTTTATTTAATTACTTACATCGTAAAATTATTGTAAAATCTGCTTCTTATTTTTTCTATTTTCACAAATATACTTTTTCTATTCTGCCGTCAGCTCAGATATATAATATAATTTATTATTATTTACTATCTAAATACGTTTTTACATAATTTGTCATAACTAAATTTAATACATTTTAATAATCACTAATTTATTTATTCAATTGTTAATTTACTTCATATGCCTCAAAACCAATGCCATCTGTTTCCTCTCTTCGTGTTCCGTCAAGCCCAACTAATTCAATTTGACGCGGTATTTGCATGAAACCCTCACCGACTTGGTAATCAGCATTGGGCTCCACATTTGCCAGTGGATCAAAGCGTTTCTCTGCATCATGGTAGGTTACAATATCTCCATAGTTATGTTTTGGCCACATACATTCACAACCAGAGGGTACAATACGAATTTCGGACTCCCAACACTCCATAGACGAGACTTTATTGCGTCGTATTAAATGTATTGTGCGATTGAGCTGTATGCAGGAAAACCCAGCTTCTGAACAAATCTGTGGAGAATATTGTTTATAATATTAATAGTAATTAACATAATTAATTTAATTCTGTATAAAATTTTTAATAGATAATTTTAAGTAGAATAGAACGATAACAATCGGTAACCTGGATTTAGATAAAGATCTACAAAACCCAAACTGATTTATCTGAAGAAAATTTTTCATAAGTAGTTTTTATATTAGACCTGCTAGTGTCTACATGATTAAAATGAAGTATTATTTCTTACAGAATTTTAATAAAAGAGATTTAATAAAAGTATATCCATTGTTTGCTGATAATGGCAAGATTTTATAATGTTTAAATTTCATATCCTTTTGAGTTAATTTAAGTATAAGAAAGTCATTACCAAAACTTACTCTGTTTTTGTTAAAGTCATGATTATAGACTGGTGAGTAGTTGTGAGCACATGTGACTTCGATGTAATGATTTGGTCGGTACTCATAACCCAATGTTTCCAAAGGAATTGAAATACGTTTAGTTGGGCACAAAGATTGATATGTTATCTAAAAAAGTTAAATATTTAATTGAATTTATATTATAAGGATAAATGAAATCATAATTCTTACACCCTTGCCGCGATGTTCGTAGCTTGGACTACCTCGAATTCTGCGTTTTCGTACATTTTGTATACCATAGGGTAAATCAACTTCCAACTCATTTTCATTTGGTTCATATTCAGAAACACTTGGTAAAAGTAAGGAGTTCAAGGCATCAGCACTGGAAATAAAAAATACTTTTATAAATATATCTGTATTATATGAAATCGTTTTTCCTGAGATATGTTAAATTCTTTAATTTCAGTTTTTGATATATGAGAGATGAGTACTAGTGCAAAAATGGTTCAATACTAATGAGCAATTCGTTTTATCTAATTTGATACAATTAAGACCCCGCTTATATAATAAAGGGACGAAGATGGATCATATACATTAAATTGATATGATTGAAATGGTTAGAATATGAACAAGGAATACATTATCAGCAAGTGGCAACAAAACCATTTACAAGGATACTAATTGGTAAGTATGTTTTAGGTAGTTTGGAGAAAATATATATTGAAGACGAAGTAGAGAACCTTAACAAAACGTATGTGTGTGATTGAAAAGTCTTTACAATAGATCAGGAATATTGACGGCTTTGTTTATGGAAGCATTCGTCCATGGAAAAACATAAATTGTATAAATAAGAAACAGTAGTGCTTAGTAGTTAGTATTTCATTAAAGTATTGGGACTATGTTCACATTATTAGGACATTTCCATACATTAAAACTAATATTTAGTTTAAATTAAATAATTAACTGAATTTTTTAATGTAAATCTATTTGAATTAAAGTTTGAGTGGGGAAAACGTCATATAACCACTAAAGTTCCCTAAATGTTCGTTTAATCAGGATTTTGTGAAATTGAATTGAGTCAGTTTATGTAAATAATTGCCGTTAAAACAAT